TGTACTACCTCAACTACCTGAACCGTACCTCTACTACCTGAGCTACCTGGATTACCTCTACTACCTGGACTACCTCTACTACCTGGACTACCTCTACTGCCTGGACTACCTCTACTACCTGGACTACCTCTACTACCTGGACTACCTCTACTACCTGGACTACCTCTACTACCAGGACTACCTCTACTACCAGGACTACCTCTACTACCTGGACTACCTCTACTACCAGGACTACCTCAACTACCTCTACTACCTGGACTACCTCTACTACCTGGACTACCTGGACTACCTCTACTACCAGGACTACCTCTACTACCAGGACTACCTCTACTACCTGGACTACCTCTACTACCTGGACTACCAGGACTGCCTCTACTACCTCTACTACCTGAACTACCTCTACTACCTGAGCTACCTGGATTACCTCTACTACCTGGACTACCTCTACTACCTGGACTACCCTCTACTGCCTGGACTACCTCCCAGGCTAAGGGCTACATCATAACCATGCTAATATTCAGGTTATGTACTATGCTAGGTACTGACCCATCGTTGGCACTTGCAAATCTACAGAGAATACTCGTTTCAAATTCACTTTATCCAAGTGTTTACTACGCTAAAATGGCGACAGAACAAGAGGTCATTGTTGAGGAAAACTTAGAAGCCGAGACTGATGTGAAAACGCGAGAAAGACGCTTTGATCAGCAACGTGAGAAATGCAAACGCATACAGTATTGTATTATTATAACAACGTGTTGTTCGAGGTCAAGCGAAGAACTATACCCTAGATGAAAGTGAGTTTATTTTTCTCGTTATACTTATTGCAAACAATTGAACTTCATATACTATGCTTATTTAATGTAAAGGGCGACGAAACATGTTTGTCATGCATAGCCACAGGGCATAGACATAGTTTGTGATTCCCTTGAGGCTGAGGAATTCTATTCTCAAAAGTTTAGAACTGTAAACCTTACTATTAAATCCCATTGAGTAATTCCACGTTCCATGGTCCCTTACTCCAGGGGTATTAAATTCCAGGGGTTTCTGAATAAAAACTATTTATCCTGAGGAATTCCAGGTCAATAACGAGGTCAATAATACTGTACTGAAGAGATCCAGCTGTCCTTGATATGCCTTGACAGGGGTGTAAGAATACCCAAGCCACAACTTCCTCTTAGTGAACTCTATATACTAAATATCTGTAATTTATATCTGGAATCACAAAGCTCTTGATGTGTTCATTTATGTAATCATGTGTTGTCAAAAATTACGCATAGTTATTTCTTCGGAAATATTAACTGTATCGGGTCATACTAATTACAAGCTGAAAAATACTGACAACAAGCTGAAAAATACCAACAACAAGCAAATACATGTTTTTTACTTTTATATGGTATCGATGACTCATCAGTATACTATGCCGTTTTTAGATAGTTTGCATAATTAGAATTCTATTATGAATACATTTATCCTTGGGCAGGATGTTTTGTTAATCCTATTGTTTATGATTTTATTGATGTCAAACAATGAAAATATAATTACTGTCTGCCTATGCGAACCCATCATCTTTAATCGCAGAATGTTTTAACTCAACAATGTTGTCGGTAATTGTCTGCTAGTTGTTGGCAATTGTTGGTTGTTGACAATAGTTGTTGGTTGTTGTTGGTAATTAGTATGACCGACTGTATCAAATTCCTCCCCTCAAATTAATATATTTGTGATGTGAATTATTTTAATTTCAATTATTCTTAGATAACGAGTTGTACTACTCAGGAGGAAAAGAAGGGATTTATAGCAAAGTTATCCTTAATGTTGCAGAAGTACGAGAAATGCTGCATCATCACCACAGTAATCCAATGGGAGGGCACAGTGGAGTGCATGCCACACTTTGTAAAATTTCAAACTTTTATTGCTGGAATGGCATGAAAGAAGATGTACAAGAATACGTAAATTTACATAGTACTTAAATTGTAAAAAGTTTTATAGAAAATAAATAACCGTTGATAAAAAACCCCTTACTGTACTTACTTTCCATTCATTAGTAACATAATTAAATGAAATCCAACATTGACCCTGTTATAACACTCAAACCCCCGCTAACAAATTTTTCATTTCTTTGGGAGTTTGAGTTAGTACACAAGCCTATGACCAGAAGACGATGCGAGTGCACCTTGCCATGTGCTTCCAGGTTGGAGAGTTGGCCCAATTCCCTGTTAATGCATCAGTTTTACCCATGCAATATGAAAGGAAGGAAGTTGTCGAACTGTTTTGTCACTGTGGAATGCCATATAGTGGTTCATTCATGATCGAATGTGCAACTTGTGCCGAATGGTTTCACCGATCTTGTGAAAATGTGCCAAGGAAAGTTAATGCCAAAACTATATTTTGTTGTGCCAATTGTAAATAGTTTATGTAAATAGTTTGTGTCGTAGGTTAGTGGTGCACACTGTGAGGGACAGGGTTCTTTTGACATGGTTTCCAAGAACTGTTAACAGATAAAACTTTATTTTGTTGTGTGAACTGTAAATATTTTTTAATTAGTGTAATTGTAAATAAGATATTAGTAGTTAGTATAATTATAAATATATTATCAAATGATAGTGAAGATGAGATTTGGGATTTTGTAACAGGAGATGCCCCAGACTGGGCATTCAGACCAGTCTCGATACTCCCCAGTCTGAGTTATCTCTTCAACAAAATTATATCAGGAGATACCCCAGACTGGGGAGCATTCAGACCAATCTCGATACTTCCCAGTCCTGAGTTATCTCTTCAAAAAAAATTATATCAGGAGATATCCCAGACTGCGGAGCATTCAGAACAGTCTCGATACTCCTCAGTTTGAGTTATCTCTTTTAAAAAATTATATCAGGAGTCGATACCCCAGACTGGGGAGCATTCAGACCAATCTCGATACTCCCCAGTCTGAGTTATCTCTTCAAAAAAAATTATATACAGGAGATGCCCCAGACTGGGCATTCAGACCAGTCTCGATACTCCCCAGTCTGAGTTATCTCTTCAACAAAATTATATCAGGAGATACCCCAGACTGGGGGAGCATTCAGACCAATCTCGATACTTCCCAGTCCTGAGTTATCTCTTCAAAAAAAATTATATCAGGAGATATCCCAGACTGCGGAGCATTCAGAACAGTCTCGATACTCCTCAGTTTGAGTTATCTCTTTTAAAAAATTATATCAGGAGTCGATACCCCAGACTGGGGAGCATTCAGACCAATCTCGATACTCCCCAGTCTGAGTTATCTCTTCAAAAAAAATTATATCAGGAGATATCCCAGATTATATAATACCTTATTAAATTCTAATCGTTTAATTGGCTGTTTATGGTCACGTGATATTGAATAGAAAATTCCACTTCCCAAGAGTGCAATGGAACGCGTTCCATTGCACTCTCCGCGAGTGCAATGGAATAAAACGTATAGTACAATTGCACTCTGTGTGTTTTCGGTAAATCGCATCCCTCAAAATGCTTCTCATACGAATTTATTAGTCTGTTCTGGACTTT